ACACACGTCGAACTGGACTCCTGGATTGCTAGCCACGATCCAACTTTGCTTAGAATGCTTGTGAATAAAAGCTATATCGAGGCAATACGCACAGTATGCAAATATACCAATGAGAGATTGTTCAATTGCAGTCCTAAGCATCAGTGGGAAGGTTCAAATAAACAATACCAAATGAATATATGCTGAAGACTCAGTAATCAATCCTACTGTTAGATCCTAACCGAAAACAATACCAGTATTCTTAAAACAATATTTGCTCTGTAATAAGGTTCGAGAAGACGGATAATCTATAGTCATATCCATAAACTTATATGTTATAGTTTGTTCGATTTCCAAACGAAGAGTCTTATGAAAGGCTTCAACAGATTCGTTAACTATATACAGTTACTTTCCCTTATGAAGCTTTGGAAATTTGTTTTAAGGAATCTTTTCTTTGTTTGTTGAGGTACTTCACTATATATCATAATGGCTCTAATGTTGTAAAAAATGTGATTTCTTATTTATGGTCGATTATGATACGGTGATCAATGTACCTGATCACATGTGTTTTCTAATCTTAATGATCCAAAACGAATCAGCTGTTTAGTGATTGAACAAGTTAAAAACAGAAAGAATTTGTGTAGGCCAATCTGTATTACGATATGGAATGAAACATAAGTAGTATTGGTGTAAAGTGATTACTAATTTTCTGGTTAGCGTTTTTTTAGCCAGTTAGTTTTCTACGAGATGCGGTCGCTAACCCCATGCCCAACCCTTCTCCTTTATCGGGGCTTGGGACCGGCAGTAGCCCCCAGGAGGAGCTACAGGCGGAGTTAAACTGATTATTAGTGAACTCAATAAATTTTCGTTGTACTGATTGAACATAATGAAGTGGAAATCATAATAAATATCTAATGTGTTCCAACACATGCTAATAACTATAAATCCACTAGTTTCATTACCGTATTTATTAAGTAGTCGTTTATAGTCCATGTAAATCCTCACCTTCTTAAACTTCCTATCAGAATACAAGACAGTCATATTTTATGTTAACGAATATCCTATATTATTTGGGCTTCCAACTTAAGTGTCGATATAACTAAAGGGTTAGACCTAAAGCTTTACTACAAAGTAACTTTGATAAATACTCAGTAAAGATTTATCAACTTATTCATTAGTAAGAATAGCTATTTTGATGTAAATTTGTTCTCTGAGCTGGATGGTTTGGTTGTGGAGCTTTCATCGTCCATCTGAACGACATCATCGGCCAATAGGAGATACAACCAAAACAAATAAATAAACAATGACAGATTTAAAGTCAATAAGAATCAATCAATATCGAGGTGCACAGGACAAGCTGTGAATCACATGTGGAGAAATTCAAACACTTCAATTCTACTCGAAGTTTGTGCTGCTGCTGATGGCGTTCAGAACGACGATGAAAGCTCCACAACCAAACCATCCAGCTCAGAGAATAAACCTACATCAAAATCACCCACCTGAGCTACAAATCCTCTCCACCATCTGAAGAATAGCTATCGAAGTTACAACATCAGAGTTTAGGTCACGAGAGAACATAACTAAAATAACCATACAAACAACAAGTACAAAATTATGGATAACAAGTTTTACTAAATTGAAATTTAGTAAATTGTTATTCACTTTGTATTGTTTGTTTGAATCTTTCGATTGTTCTTTAGGACTGCAACTGGTCAGTCTCTTAATGGCATATGTGCATCCTGTGCGTATTGCCTCAATATAGCCTTAATTCACTAGTATTATAAGCAAAGATGGATAATGGCTAGCAGTGGAGTCCTAAATAGAACGAAACGCGCATCAGACTGGATTCTACTACTAGCTACTATCCGTCTTTACTTATAATCTAATTAGTTGTGAAGAAATTATATCTCAATTCTCTTTGAAATACATGTCAATATGAATTACAAAACCGAATCATCCATCCATTGATATCACATCCCCTTCAACATTCTCCATTAACTCAATTCTTTTTTCACTGTTTTATATTCTCTAAACAATACATTGTGTTTTAATAGTGATTACTTCTGAAGGGATATATCTAGTAAGAGTTTGACATATTTATAGACAATATTCAATGTTCATGTCAACAAACATTTAAAAAGTAAAACACAGATTTCAGCGAAGGGATCTCTTTTCAACGAATTTATTATCAAGCTGTACAATCGTATATATATATGAAAAAGTTTTGTTAAAGTACTAATTCCGTGAGGAAATGTGAACACTAATAACCAAGATTATAAGACTGGATTACGTAGTATGAATAACAATAATAGATTTAGTGAATATAGTAAGACGGATAAAAAACCTTAAAAATAAAGAGATAATTACCCAGGATTTATATGATCACATTCGCCCAATGGGTTCAATCATCCCACGCTTATACGGACTACCGAAAGTACATAAAGCAGGTTTACCATTACGACCTATTTTAGACATGTCAAGTTCACCATACCACCGAATAGCCCAATGGTTAGCTGAAAAATTGGAACCAGTTAGAAGGCAAGTATCTAAATATTCTATTCATGATACTTTTCAATTTATTGATCGTATTAAGGATGTTAATACTTCCGGAAAACACATGTTCTCACTTGATGTTAATTCTTTATTCACTAGTGTACCGTTAACGGAAACTATATGTTATATTTGTGAGTATATAGACTCTAACAACATAGTTCTAGGTATTCCAACTGAACACTTAAAAGAATTATTGTTACGTTGTACCTTTAATGTCCAGTTCAGTTTCAACAATGAAATATATAGACAAAGAGATGGGATCGCAATGGGATCTCCTTTAGGTCCAATTCTAGCAGACTGCTTCATGGCAAAACTAGAAAACGATCAACTCAGTTCAATGATAAGTCGATTCCAACTATACGTAAGATACATGGACGACACATTTGTCGTTTGTGACGATAATATTGATTTGGACAATATCTTACACTTCTTCAACTCATGCCACCCTTCCATAGACTTTACATTAGAAAGAGAGAGAGACCAATCAATCCCTTTTCTTGATGTACATCTATTGAGAGGAAGCAATGGTTTTTTAAAAAGATCTATCTTTAGAAAGCAAACATGGAATGGTCAACTAACCAACTTCCACAGCTGGGTTCCATTAATTAGAAAGAGAAACTTGATTCATTCTTTATGCTATCGTATACATCGGATATGTAGTACAGAATGCATCAACGAAGAACTAGCGTTCCTCAAGAAAACTTTGTTGAAAAATGGCTACCCAGACCGGTTCATAGAGAAGAATATGAACAGAAGTAGCGTCGTTAAGAATCCTAGTTATTCAGTGCCAAAGAAAAGCCTTTATATAAGTCTGGAATTTAAAGGTGATCGAACATCAGACATAATTAAAAATCGTTTAACAACAACGATTAAAAGGACATTTAACGCTGCAAAACTACGAATAACCTTCACCAGTAAGAACTTAATTTCTGTATCCATAAAAGATAAGCTTCCGCGTTTGGTCGCCTCCATGTGCATCTACCAGTTCACCTGCTCTTGTGGAGCAAGGTACATCGGCCGTAGCCAGCGCTCGCTTTCAACCCGGATACGAGAACATATACCAGCTTGGTTCTACAATGGTGGAAAGAAAGCAGTTCGAAGTTCTATACTCGAACACCTAATCGACTGTAATCATTCGACGAATCCGCAGTCTGATTTTAAGGTTGTTTATATGATTCGTTCAAATCTACCAAGATTTCTTCGGATCAAACTTTTAAAAATAGCCGAAGCTCTTACCATCCATGAGCTCAAACCAGAACTATGCGTACAAAAGAAGTACGTTTTAACATTATCGTTACCATGGCCTTAATATTATTATTACTATCATTCTTTTATTATTATTATTACTCCATTCCCCCTTTACTTATGTTTTATATTCTCATTATTTTATTCATGAATACTCATCACCTTATTTATTTATCTATTTATTTTACACCTCTATGACCTTTAATGACCTTTAATTATTGTAACCAAAACAATTTATCCGTCTTACTATATTCACTAAATCTATTGTTGTTATTCATACTACGTAATCCAGTATTATAATCTTGGTTATTAGTGTTCACATTTCCTCACGGAATTAGTACTTTAACAAAACTTTTTCATATATATATACGATTGTACAGCTTGATAATAAATTCGTTGAAAAGAGATCCCTTCGCTGAAATCTGTGTTTTAATTTTAATGTTTAAATGGGAATTATATACCAATTTAAAAAGTAGACAAGTTTACCCTTTTGTTTGATTTATCCATTTAACTTCTTACTACGTCTTTGATCTGTCTACCCACTCTCTTGCCGAGGATAACTTGTCTAATGTAGATTAAGACATTGACGCGATAGGTTGACTGGCTTAACCTTGAGGCTAGTATGCGTGAGTTCGAAGTGGGATAGAGAGAAGAAAACTATTCTATCACCTGATTGGCCGACAAGCACGGGCGCGAGAGAGAAAATAAGACAACTGGAACACTACTCGCTTCATTCCAATCCCGATCTGGTATCCGATTTCAGATTAGTGTAAAAAAGATACATGAATAAATAGATGACTAACCTGACCACAATGTACAATAAATAGGAAAATACAATTGTCCCAAAATGGGGGATTAGAGTGGAAAATAGAGTACAAAAGATTACAATAGGTTTGGAACAGAAAAGGTTATGGCAGTGAATAATACATCAAACGAAAGCTTATGATCTGTAGAATAGACTAGGGACAAAAGTAAATATTATAGTCTTACAAGCTTTGAATTAAATGAGATAACGTCCCCAAAATAGCTTTCGTATTTTGTTAAGGCTTCTTATTTCTCTGTTCACATCACTTCTAATGTTTACTAACCATGGTGTTTAACTAAAACAAAAAAATTATCATAAACTATCACAATTAAGACTGAAATTAAACATCCCAGTAATGTACCAGATGGAACTGAAGGGTCACTATACTTTATAAGGTTAAAAAAATGTATAAATAAAAATGTATATATATATATATATATATAATGAACATGAAGCTTATGTTTAGGGTAGGAAATGTACATAAGTTCAAATTCCCTTTGGTTATGTTTACTTTTATCTTCTCAATGATTTTTAGGACTACAATTGATCACTCTCTTATTGGTATATGTACATCCTGTGTGTATTGCATTGATATAGTATTAATTCACAAGCTTGATAAAGCAAAGATGGATAGTGGCTAGTAGTGGAGTTTAGGACACTTGTTTTATCCTATTTGGGACTCGTCATCTGGATATACCTGTATCTCAGATTTGATGTTTACTCTGGGATTCGAACTCAGTACCGTTCACTTTAAATACCATTGCAGCATTATCCACTTAGCTACTAAGTCTTCATAATCACTTGTTTATACAATAGAATGAACTTTAAATTCACTTGATATTGTTTGCTTGTATCATCACCACTGATAACTATCATATTTGGAATTGAAATTTCTAAATGATAGATTAATGTATAGAATTGATTGATCTAAAATTCTATTGGCTAATAAGTTGGTCAAATGATTAAATAATACATGAATTTGATTGGTCCAATTATAAGTCGATTTATGATTGGTTGAAATATAATCTATTTAAACTTTATACATTCCATCTGTTGATTATTAGAATGCCAAAAATCGTCAAAGGTGGTGATGATGATTTTGGCAATGATAATGGTAATATGAGGGGTTTAATCACATATATCCTTCATTATATCGATGTGTATACAAGATAGAGATTCATGTAAGATTATGGTCAATCATAAATTAACAGAACATTGTAATTGACAATAATGGAATTGCATATTCCAACAAATTCATTAATTATGGATTATGAAAATGATGATTTAAAAAGTAATTTTTCTATTATTTATTCCCATGAAGAAAAAATCAATAATCAATCAATTATACATGATGATATGATTGATAATTTACAAGATGAAATGAATTCTGAATTATTACCTAATCATGATAATTATAATCATAATGATCGTCGAAAAGAGTCAACAATGATAAATCAATCATCATTAATGTGGCTTGATGATTCATTAGATACAGATATTATACCATTATCTGGTTTAAGTGAATTATCATCTTATAGTATACCAATTCTATCAAATGATACTTCAGAAAATGATGATTCTAATTGGAGTATATGGTTAAAGACATGTTCATCTCAATCACCAGCTACAGATAGGAAAGCAAACAAATTTAATATAAATTTATTAGATGAAGATTTTTCTATACATCATCAAGAACCAGATTATGCACATCATAGGCATCATTCATATTATTATCATCATCATCATCATTTCCATCATCATCATTGTCATCAATATGATCCATGTCAAAATCAGAGTATAGATAAGGAAATTAATTTAACAAATGAAGAATCATTGAAGAAAGCAGATGATACTGATAATCATATTGATGATGTTGGACAACAGCAACAACAACAACAACAACAATCACGTAGGGATTCATTAATCACTGAAGTTACAGAGAAAATTGATTCATTTCAAAGTGATACTGATAATCTCCCTCATTTCCGGGATAAATATCCTCATCATCATCATATTCATTATCACCATCATCATCACCATCACCACCATCATCATCATCACCATAATAATAATAATAATAATAATAATAATAATAATAATAATAATAATAATAATAATAATAATAATAATAATGAAGGTCAACAATCCCCTCTCAATGAACTTATTAATTCCATTGGTGAATGTAAGAAATGTCAGTCATTTGAATCAAAACGTCATATGACAATAGATAAAGGTACTATGGATGATTTCAAAAATGATGATCATGATTTTATGAAAATTATTGATCATTTAGAAGAAATGTTCAATTTAGAATTGACTGATATTTGGCATTCATCGCATAATCGTGTCATTCAATGGTTAAATGATAATACACAATCAATAATGTCAACATTAAAAGACTAATTACCAATGTATTCTTTCAGTAGATCTTATTTCTTTATTTAATAATGAACATGATTGTATTCCTCACTTTATATATTTGCATTTAATTAACTACTTAAATATTATTAGTAAGTAGTATTGAATAATAATGGAAGATTGAACAATAAACATGAATAATAATTATATGTATATATAGTAATAGTTTATCACTGTTTACATTGTTATTCATAAAAAGTGATGATCTGAAAACAAACATACCACCAAATTGTATATGATAATACATAGTTATATGAGATGATGTCAAAGATTTTTTAGTTCAGATAGATGATTTTGATGAAGTTTTGTTCTTTGAGTTGAATGGTTTTTGGTTATAGAGTTTTCATCATCCTTCTGAACGAAATCATCAGCAGTAGTACAAACTTCATGTAGAAATTATGCTTATGAATGACTATTAGCTTTATCATTCATATATGTAAATAATCTATATATAGTTAGATAAGTATTCTTTGTTTAATTCTAGTGATATTCTAATCTATTTAACTGTATATAATTGTTACTATTATCTTTTTTTTTTTCTTTAAAAAACAGACAAACAAACAAACAAAGCACACATTTGTACCCTTTTTTGTTTACTCTATTTTGGTGTTACTAAGCAAAAAGAAAAAAATTTTTTTGTATAATGTGTGATTACGTAATATGTAATGGTATATACGTTTCTCTGAAGTGTATATTGATTAGATCTACACATTTATAGATGTTCATATGAATGCATAACACTTATTGTCTGTATGTATATATGTCTCTATTATTATTACTATTTCAATACAGATAACTTTCCAGAATAGTACATTCTAATTCTTTGATAATGAATCTTATTGATAAAAAATCAATAAATGAAAGATAGTTTAACAAAGAGAATTTTTCTTTTTTTTTTAATGATACTATTTTCTAAAGATTAGGAGAATCAAAACCTGGAAGTATTGAACGGTCGTTTTGTCGGATTATGAGACTCCTCTGTGGCAGTGTACATCGATGATACCGCTTCACGAGATTTGAAACCAGGATCTATCAGTTTCACGCGAGAGCGTGCGCTTAACCTATAGGACCATTAATCTGGCATTCAACGATGTTAATGTCTAACTTGAACCGATTTACGAAATTGAGTGACACATCCACCATTGTGTTTAGTGAGTTGCTATCTCACAACATACCTGGTTCAAATCTACTGGTCACTGCTTCTCATTAGAACTTCAAGAAATACCTCTTGAAGCCAGTCACTAGTGAGCATATGTTGATTAATATGAGAAGACGTTTTTGTAGATATTATGGTAATTTTAATAGTTGAGATCATGAATCAATTGAAGCTAGACCACTATGGAAAACGTTGAATAAAGGGGATCGTGGATGCACACTGCTGAGGAGTCTCACAATAGGACGAAACTGCCATCAAGCAGTGCTTTCAGGTTTTCCATGGTAGTCTAGCTTCAATTGACTCATGATATCCACTTCAACCGATCCACGAAATTGACTGACACATCCATTATTGTGTTCAGTGAGTCACTATCTTAAAACAGACTAGCTTCAATCTAGTTTCAATTGACTCATGATCTGAACTATTGAAATTATTATAATATCCACAAAACCCCTTCTGAAACTGTTATAGTTTTTAAGTTGGCCGATTATAGAGAATTATTAAATATTGTAATTGTTTTCGGAATGAACTAATTTTAATTAATGAAGCACTTAGATTATGTTTTAGAATAATCTAAGACTTTACATCAGTCATTTGCTTCTTGTCATTGTTAATAACGTCAGTCAATAGATTGTGGTAAAATAGTTTTGGCGCCTAAATCATGTAAAAGTAAGCCTTCTAGCTATTCCACAACTATTGTAGTGATTCGTAGTGAACACTTTGTTTTTTTATTGACTGTCTTCGTAGATTTTATCATCTTCAGTTGTCTTTGGACTCATGTTGGTTGTCTTTGTTGGCCGAGTTCTGACCTTGTGATTGATCGATATTTTCCGTATGAGTTCGCAGAATGGATTAATGTCACTTTTTCATAAATTCTCCGGGATTCTTGAATTTTTGCCAACTCAAATTGTTGTCTAATTTGTGTTCATGGTTGACTGTATGTATTTATAACTATAAGAGTATATAATGTCAACTCACTGCTGACCTATGCTCCTTATGGGTAAGGTAATGGAGCACAGATTATTTGGTGAATGACATTACATTTGTCTTTTACTGTCGTGTTTTTTTCGTCTCTATAGATTCGAATGCAGTGACTGTGTTAGGTTGTGAGTGACTTTGATGCAAAGGGCTTTAGGATCCTTGTAATGGTTTCTGAGATATTCTTCACATATTATATAGGATGCTCCATTTCTTGATTTTTGGTGTCTATTTTTCGACGATGTGTTGACTGGATAGACATCTAACGAATTTGTTAGGGTCAAACTTTCTACGATTTGACGTGATATAGCGGATCCCATCTGAGTTCCTTTGATCTGTCTGTAAATCTCACTGTTGAATTGAGAACTTGTTGTTAAGGATAGTTCTATGAGTTTAATCACTTCTACATCAAGTAGTTTCTGGAGATATTCTTTAGAATGACAATGAAAGCTTCCCAATGAAACCAATTACCTTTGAAGAATTCAGCATCTCCGAAAGCATTCATCGGAACTACAAATTTCCTCCATCATTTCATTTAAATTTATCCCATATTATATCATTCGTTTACTCAATCCACACCCAATTTGACAAAAACATGTGAATTACTAAGTAACAATTAAGACTTATGGTTTTTGTCACTATGAGCATCACACTTTATCCTTTAACTCATAAATGGTGATTCTACCTTAATCTTACTTATTGTAAGGATTAAAACTATTTTTAGAATCAACATTTTCAAATTCATTTAGTATTGTTTGTTTGAATCTTCTCATTGATGTTTAGGACTGCAACTGGTCAGTCTCTAATTGGCATATGTGCATACTATGCGTATTGCCTCGATAAAGCCTTGATTCACAAGTATTATATGCAAAGATGAATAGTGACTAGCAGTGGAAACCAGTTCGACGAACGTTTCGTTCTCTTTGGGACTCGGTAGCTGAGTGTACCTGCATCTCAGTGAACGTTACTGGGTTCGAGTCCCAGAGTGAACATCAACTTTTAGATGCAGGTACATCCATCTGACGAGTCCCAAGTAAAACGAAATGTGCGTCCTGGATACCACTGCTAGCCACTATCCATCTTTATTGATCAATATTTCTATTTGCAATTATGAGATTTGCGATTATCATTGAAAATGAATTCGCACGAAATTGTGTCGTATAACTATCGGAATAAAAGTTTGGAAAACTATTTATAATAAGATTTCCTAAGGTTTAAATTTCAGATTATAAAATCACGAAACAACCTTAGTCAGATGATCATTGGAAATAGAACTGCTGAGCACTGTGTATTCTTAATCCCGCCAGGGGTCGAAATCAGGACTTTAAATCTTTCGATGACCACTTAAACCTGAAATCAATCAGATAGAATTCAGTTGTATGCACTTCTAATTTCAGTTGAATCATAATATTTGGCAACATCTATGTAATGTACTTAGTGGGCAATTACCACAATCATTAATCGTTTAAACTCCATTGGTCAAGGTTACTATACCGGAATTCCTGGACTTACATTTAGAAATCACAATTTATGTAGGATATATCGTACAAAGAAGCAAAGAGATTAACAATAAATGAATAAATAAACCTAACATTTATTGTAAAACTTCTACAAGATGTTGGGGTGATCTAGAAAACTTCTCGCAAACGACATGAAAGGATCAGGAAATACTAAGATGCATTTTATCCAATCAGCGTTCACTAGAAGTTTTTCCAGGAACATCACGAAAGTGAAAAAGTTACATGTAAAATTTCTGATTAGCTGGTTACTATACTGCTACTGTTGTGAACAGAACACTAGTTGGGGACAATCGAATGTATTTAAGCAAAAGTTACAGACTATCTCAGTAAATTCTGATAACCAAACAATGAACAGTCAATTTGCAAATTAACAACCAATTGTTTCAATCTTCACTGTTTCTTCTCTAATTCCATTGCTCATGCATTTTCCAAGCGATTGCGCTTCATTTCAGTTCTTTCGTCATCGGTCTTCTGCCAAAATACATTCTATGTCCGACCCACACCATATACTACTTACATGGATATAAGTAGATCACACCACACTACTATGTTCAGTACCACTGCAGAATGTTCGGGATAACCTAAGGACTTCTAAAATACTATAAAAACCCCTATATTTTCTGTACATAAAATGAATCTTTGGAGTAAAGTGCTTCTCTTATAGCTTGTGCCTTTTCTCTCGTATTCAAGTCGCCTAGGAGATTAAGCTTGGGGATTACGAGATTAGCTTAGGGTGCGAGTAAAACTATTCAATTAACAAGATTTATCAAGAAGAAAGAAGCAAATCAATAATAGAAGATAGGTGTGGTGCACAAGAACACGGGTTGGAATAATGGATTATCTCACTAAATTCTGATAACCATACAGTAGTAAACAGTTAATTTACAATATAACAATCAATTGTCTTAATATTGACTGTTCCTTCTGTAACGATTGTTCATGCATTTTCGTAGAGATTGCGCTTCATTCCTATTATTTCCTTATCGATCTTCTGCTATAATACATTCTATGTCTGACCATCACCATATACTACTTATATGGATATAAGTAGACCACACCATATAAGTATAATGATAAAGAATAATAATAACCATTTGAACTAATTGTACATTAATAATATAGCCCTCATTAAAAGACATCCAAGTTAAAATTGTACTGTTGATAATCTTGTGACATTACACTTTCTCTCTCTCTCTCTCTCTCTCCTTCTTTCCTTCCTTCTCTCTCCCTTTTACATATTGCCTAAAAAGGATAGTACTATTATTGATATTGTTTTGGTTTTTTTTACAATATTCATATGATCTATGTAATATAGAACATGACTTTTTATTGATTGTAAAAAAACCCATATCAAATCAAATGATTTGGAAGTACCATGGTTATGATTGTAAATACATTGTGCTTCAATATACTTTTTTGAAATCTTCCAACTGTTCATACAGATGTTCTTAGTATAGGACTGTTTAGCAATTGGCATCTATGATCGTGCAAATGGGACTTTAAATCAGGAATTTTGGTCTCGAGCGGGAACACCGAACCGGGATTCAACGATGTTAATGTCTTACTTACTTACTTATGCCTGTTACACCCAATGGAGCATAGGCCAACGACCAGCATTCTCTAACCCACTCTGTCCTGAGCTTTCCTTTCTAGTTCTGTCCAGTTTTTGTTCATTCGTCTCATATCTGTTTCCATTTCTCGGCATAATGTGTTCTTTGGTCTTCCTCTTTTCCTTTGGCCTTCAGGATTCCATGTGAAGGCTTGTCTTGTGACGCATTTGGGTGACTTTTCATATCAAATGAATAGT